CTAGCGACGAAAGTGAGGACGAGGACGAAGAAGAAGACTGGACAGTTGTTCCGAGACATTCCAAGAGGGCCACAAAAGGGATCCCTCCACAACAATATTCTTGGCAACTGACAAAAGCACCCTTGCCTTTGATTTGCAATGTTACACTTCCACCTGATAATTTCACACAAATCAAGCAGCTCCCTGATTCAGAGCAAGACAAATGGTATGAGGCAATGCAGGCTGAAATGGACAGTCTAAAGAAACTCAAAGTATTTACACCTGCAAAACCTCCAGCAAACAAAAAGGTCATTGGCACTCGATGGGTCTACAGAATCAAAAAGAAACCAAATGGTGAGTCACTGTACAAGGCCAGACTTGTAGCTCAGGGTTTCGCTCAACGTTATCCTGAGGACTACACAAATACTTACTCACCGACAGTCAGAACTGAGAGTGTAAAAATTGCTTTAGCAACTGCAACTATCCTTGGTTTAGAAGTTTTCCAGTTTGATGTTGACACGGCTTATCTACATGCAGACCTAGATGAAGAGATCTACGTGAGAAGTCCTCCAGGATTCCGACAGCAAGAAGGGGATACCTGGTTCCTAAACAAAAGTCTCTATGGTCTGAAACAATCTGGTTTAATGTGGTACTTATGTCTTACTGACAAACTAAATTCAATGGGCTTTATTAAGTCCGAAACTGATGAGTGCGTGTTCATAAAAAGATCTAACAATGCATATGAGATAGTTCTTGTTTATGTTGATGATATTGTTTATATTGGTCCAAATAAGCAAATGAGTGAAATTTTTGCCAAAGCTTTGCAGAGATACTTCACATTGAAATCATTGGGTCACATTAGCACTTATTTAGGTGTTCAGATTGAAAAAACACAGAAGGGGTTTAGTCTTTCACAAGAAGATAAAATTGAACAAGTTTTGCATCATTGCAACATGAAAGATGCTAACACAACAAAGAGACCCATGCAAACAGATTTTCACAACCTGACACAAGAAGAAAGTCCTGAGTTCGAGGATCAAACACTTTATCGTTCAGTCATTGGGTCACTGTTATACATTAGTAGTTGGACCAGACCCGACATTGCACTTAGTGTTAATCTCTTATCACGACACGTAGGTAAAGCAAAACAGTTTCATTGGACATGCATTAAGAAATTACTAAGATACCTAAAATACACTAAACACATGAAGTTATTGTTAGAACCAACACATACTGATTATGCAGAATTATGTTGTTATGCAGATTCTGATTGGGCAAGTGATAAGAAATCACGTAAAAGTACTTCGGTTATATGATGTTCTTAAATGGATGTCCTGTTTATTGGCAAGTACGTAAACAGAATTTTGTTTCTTGTTCATCTACTGAAGCTGAATATGCTTGTGTTTCAGATGCATGTAATTCTCTAACTTGGTTTGACGCTTTAGTCACAGATATCTGGACACACCCGATCCGACCGATCACAGTGATGGAAGACAATGAATCGGTGGTTTATATTTCTGAATCTCATTTCACAGGTTCTAGGTCCAGACACATTGACATTCGTTACCAAAACATAAAACATTTAATGAAAAAAGGTTTTGTCAAAATGCAATATGTATCTACACATGATCAAATTGCTGATATGCTCAACAAACCACTTCCAGCAGCTCAACACGAGTATCTGCGTAAGAAGATGTGCCTTATTTGATGATGTACTGATATTCGCTCAACTGGCAAAGAAGGGGAATGTCACTGCGTTATTTTATTTACCAGCTGAGCTCATTATTTCTGGACTGTCAGACTCTCCGTAGCTTGCCAACTTCTTATCAGTAAGCTACGTGTTTCCGTATCCACCCACATTCCTTCACACTCTTTCCTTTGTTCTCTTGCCATGGGTGCCGGTTGCTGAAAGGCAGCTGGCCCAAATTACTTCCAAAATGTAACAATTTACTTTTCTTAGTTAGTGAGGTGTTTTATTTTCTTTATAACAAATAAATGAGTTTTATTAGAAACCTTTCTCGCGTTTCTTTTCAGAATATTGCAACTTGGAATAAGCCTCGATTCATCTCCTCTAATTAAACCAGGGTAATTAGTCCCAGAGCCAAACATGGGATTAATAAATGCCCTGACAACTGGCGCAGAGTGCAGCCACGCGGGTGGTTATGGGAGCAACATGGCACTCCCGTGTGACACCTCTCCTGCGCGAGCTGCACTGGCTCCTGGTGCTCTTCCGGGTGCGCTTCAAGGTTCTGGTTACCATCTTTAGAGCGCTCCATGGCTTAGGACCTGGTTATTTATGGGACTGCCTACTACCACAAGCAGGGGCTCCTCCGGGTGCCGTCAGCTAAACAATGTCGACTGGCAGCCCCAGGGGGAGGGCCTTCTCTGTGGGGGGCACCCACTATCTGGAACGAGCTCCCCCCAGAGATACGGAGGATCCCGGATCTACGCACTTTCCGCCGTGCTCTTAAGATTCTTCTATTCCAGCAAGCCAGCCTGGCCTAATTTTCTCCCCTGTTTTAAAATTCTTTTACATCAAAATTTTAATTTGTTTTAAATTTTGGGATTTTTTTAATTGTCTTGGGCTAAATTATTTAATCTGGTTTTAATTATATCTTTTAACTTTTGTATTTATGTATTTTATTTTGTGCCTGTTCACCGCCCTGAGTCCTTCGGGAGTAGGGTGGTATATAAATCTAATAAAAGACAAAGACAAAGACACGATTTTGAGTCTATGCCTCTGTTTATAAAACCTAGGATTGTATTGGCTTTTTTGGCTGCTGCCGCACACAGCTGACTCATATTCAAGTAATCATCCACTAGGACTCCAAAGTCCCTATCATAGTTATTGTTTTTTTTTTTTGAAAAACAATTATTATTTCAAACAAAAACATAAAAATATCATCCTTTCAAACAATTACAGACAGTGTATCAATCGGTTAGCATCCATCTGTGCTCACAAAATCTTCAAAATAACCATATATGACACAAGCTTCTTCTCCCTAAAAACAAATTTTTACACATTTTATCTTAAGTTCCAGATCATATATCATATTTCATCTCCATATTTTATTATCTATCCAATGATAAAATAAAGCCCATATCAAATAATATTGATTGTCTTCCTGTTTTCTTATTTCAAATGTCGGTTTATTTCATTTCAGCACAATCCAACATTTTCTTAATAATTTCTTCATCAGTAGGTATCTTCTCTCCTTTCCAGTTTTTAACAAATACGATTCTAGCCGCTGTTAAAATATTCACAATTAAATATTGCAATTCTCTATTATATGTCTCTGGTAAGTTCCCTAATAAAAATATCTCTGGTTTAAAGTCAATATGTCTCTTTATCATTTTTTCCAACCACGAGTGTATCTTAGTCCAATATCTCTTTGCTTCTACGCATGTCCACCACATATGGTAATCTGATCTTGGAGTCTGATGACACTTCCAACATTTCTCCGATTTATTCTTGAACATTCTGGCTATCCTCGTCAGGGGTAGGTGCCATCTGTAAAACATCTTATACAAATTCTCCTTATATGCTGTAGACATTGTCATTTTATAATTCTGTGACCACAATTTCTGCCATTTCTCTAAATCAATACCATGGCCAAAATTTTTCCCCCGAGCTATCATTGCTTCTTTAACTTGTTCTTCTTCCAATTTTACTTCTAGTAAATATCCATATAACTTTTTAATTACATGATCATCAGGACTCATTAAAATCTTATCTAAGTTAGTCAAAACATTTGAACTAGGTCTCGCCTAATCTTTACTTATACCTTTGATTGTCATGTGCCACCATGCCCCGGTAGCACTCATAGTATCTGAAGTAACTATGGCACAGGTCAAACTCCAAGTTGTTTGTAAGTGCTCAGGTTCATGTAGATCAAAGACATGCCAGCTTTGAGTGTCACATCCATCTGCTTTGTGGATCAGCAACAAGAGACATAGACATGTCTTTTCCAGTGATGAAATGTAAAATTTGTTACTACCGGTTCTGTGGGTGTGGCTTGGTGGGGGGTAATCAGGGGTGAAATGCTCCCAGTTCAGACTGGATCGCCTGATTTGGTAGCAATGGAGGCGGGTAGTTCGGAGAACCGGTAGCAAAAATCCCTGCCCCCCCCCATTGCCCAGCTGAGCCGCGCAATCATCAGAGGCTTTTTAAAATTATTTTTAAAAGCATTTTTTCTACAAACTCTTCTGCCGAAGAGGTTATAGAAAAAATATTTTTAAAAGGAAAGCCTCTGACGATCAGGCAAATCAGCTGGGATCGTCAGAGGCTTTAAAAGCATTTTTTTTTAAAACCTCTTCAGCCAAAGAGGTTGTAGAAAAAAATGGTTTTAAAAATTGAAGAAAAAAAAAAAAGTTGGCCACGCCCAGTCAGTCATATTACCCACCCACCCCACCAAGCCACGCCCACAGAACCGGTGGTAACAAATTTTACATTTCACCACTGGGGGTAATGTGACTGGGTGGGCGTGGCAACATTGTTTTTTTTACTTTTAAAAGCATTTTTTCGGCCAAAGAGGTTGTAGAAAAAATGCTTTTAAAAGTAAAAAAAAAACAAAAAAAACCGGGAGCATTTCACCCCTGGTGAAATCTGGTGCACAACCAAAAGTTAGTGGTAAGTGGGTAGGAGAAATGCTTTTCTTTGCAATTATCAGAAGAACAATAATTTTTAATATATCCCTTATGGATTTCTACCCACAAAGGGGAAGACTTTATAAAACCTGCTGTAAAAATATGCTTTGAATTCTCCCTGGGGGAGCAGAACAAGAAACCTTGCCTTGTTTTGCAAAGAAAAAACATCTGAGTTTATTGAGATTCAGCTGCCTTAGTTTCCTCTTTGGTCACAGCCCAAAGACAGGAAAGAGGAAGCATGATTGATATAAATTTGCCCTGGATATCCCAGTGACATAGCCTCTCTCTATTGTGTTAAAGCACTGGTGAGATTTTCAAGTATTACCTGCAATTCAGGTTCTGCACAAATTTTGATTTCTGATTGAAGAGGTATGATGGCAAGAATGACTAGGTTGCCTCTCCTGCTGCTGCTGATGATCTTCTGGCTCCTGCCTCCAACTACTGCTAAGAGGATGCAAACCATATGCATTTTCAGAAACCCTTTACAGATTCAAGATCAATGGGAATATTACAGGCCTGGTGATCTGATTATTGGTGGGAATTTACCCCTGGCAACCATTTCTTCTGCCAGCATCCCAGACTTTCAAAACGACCCATTCCTCCTTACTTATAAAATGATGTAAGTTTCACTTTGGGGTGGGGAGGGGGTAAGATGACTGGTTTATTTTGGATCCAGGGATTTTTTTCAGAAATACATGCCCTAGTACAGTTGAAATAAAATAAGATAACTTTTATTTCCATTTTTTTCCTTTTTTTCCTTCCTTTAACACACATTAAAAATGAAATTCTTTTTTTTAAAATAACTTTTTTATTTTTATTTTTAAACAAACAATTCATCATTAATCAATCAGTGTAACATCTGGGTACAAATTTAAAGGGAGAGCTAATTAAGAAAATATTAGAATGTGCAGAAATGAGTAGATTAACATTAGCAATTAGAAGGAAGGAAGAATCGGAGTCTTACAACATATGGGGGCAATTTCATCAATGGATAGAGATTGAATATAGACAATGTAAAAATAAGAAACATGGGAAAAATATGTTGTAATAATTAAATTTAAAAATGAAATTCTGTTGCCTACTCTCAAATGTGCAAAACTCAACTAAGCCACCCAGAGTCACTTGGTTGATTTGGGTGATGTAGAAGAAAGAGTGGCAGAGCTGGGAGTGGAGTCAAAAGAGGGTTAGAATTTTTACATACTGTGTTTCCCCAAAATGAAGATCCTGTCTTATATTTTTTTGAACCCTGAAATAAGCCATGTGCTCAAAAGCCCGATTGGGATTATTATCAAGGAATGTCTTATTTTGGGGGAAACAGGGTAGTCACAAATGAACTAAGTCAAACCCCTTTTGAATTTTGTGACCCTTATTTAGTGCCAAAATAGTGGTGTTAGTTGAGATGATTTCTATGCATATACATGAGTAGTAATAAATCAGTTTTATTCACATATGGTCTTGGTCTTTCATGCCCAACAGGTGGCTATAGAAATTGAGTAAATACAAAACTCAAAGAAAAGCTCAGTCCTTTTCCATTGTGGGATATTGAAAAAATTACAACCCAGTTTTAGAATCAGGGATGCTTATGAATAATGGACTCCAGTACACCTATGCTGTGATCACCAATGGAGATCTTGTGTTCATCAATGGTTACCAGACCTGAAGAAAGTGCTTCAACCATGAATCATGTTGATTAGAGTGCTAGAGAAACAGTTGGGAGGGATTATAACCACTGTAGCAAAGTGAAGAAGGGAGAGATGATGGAGGGGTATAAAATGATCCATGATATGTAGAGAGAGACTTTTATTCCTTCTTTCAAGGCCATCTAAATTTAATTAAAGAATAACCTTTAAAAACACCCACATCCAACAAAACTTGGGAGTTTCTGCTCCAAATAACACTTTTAAAAAAAGACAAAGGAAACACCAACACAAGCTTTCCTATAATTTTCACCACTGTTTTATTTTTTCTAACTGCAGATATGAATCCAAAAGCTACCAGCAGTTCTTAGCCTTGATGTTTGTAGTCGCAGAAGTCAACAAAGATCTGGTTCTCCTCCCAAATATCACCCTTGGCTTCCACATTTATAGCAATTTCCAGGTTGAGAGGAAGATTTCCTTGATCAGTCTCTTCTTACTCTCCTCACAAGATCAAATGATTCCAGGTTATAAATGTGACCGGCAAGACATTCTGCTTTCTGTCATTGGAGGTCTCAAGTCCAAATCCTCAAGGCAGATGGCTTCCATCTTCAGCATCTTCAAGGTCCCACAGGTAAGGAAGCGCCACAGGAGAAAATATGGAGTAGCCAAACATCAGAAGCATACACAGAAAACATAAAACTTTAGGGGCACATCAAAAGATATGTGCTATAATTCAATTCATTTTTATAGTTTATGTATCAAGGTGTTTTTATGTAACCCCAAATAGAAAGATAAGATCATTCTGAAATGTTGTACTTACCAAGAGGGATTCCTTCCTACCTTATTCTTCTTTAAAAGGATAGCTATTCCTTCTGCACAGTTTATTCCATGTATCAGATTGATGGTTTGTTCCCTTTGCTTCTGACACAGTAATGCCAATAGTTACTCAATAGTAGTAACTGTGAAAGGGATCTTGGAGTCCTAGTGGACAACCATTTAAATATGAGCCAGCAATGTGAAGCAGTTGCCAAAAAAGCCAACACAGTTCTGGGCTGCATAAACAGAGGGATAGAATCAAGATCACGTGAAGTGTTAATACCACTTTATAAAGCCTTAGTAAGGCCACACTTGGAATCCTGCACCCAGTTTTGGTCACCACGATGTAAAAAAGATGTTGAGACTCTAGAAAGAGTGCAGAGAAGAGCAGCAAAGATGATTAGGGGACTGGAGGCTAAAACATATGAAGAACGGTTGCTGGAACTGGGTATGTCTAGTTTAATGAAAAGAAGGACTAGAGGAGACATGATAGCAATGTTCCAATATCTCAGGGGTTGCCACAAAGAAGAGGGACTCAAGCTCTTCTCTAAAGCACCTGAGGGCAGGACAAGAAGCAATGGTTAGAAACTAATCAAGGAGAGAAGCAACTTAGAACTAAGGAGAAATTTCCTGACAGTGAGAACAATTAATCAGTGGAACAATTTGCCTCCAGAAGGCGGGTTTTAAGAAGTTGTTGGATAACCATTTGTCTGAAGTGGTGTAGGGGGGTTGGAGGCAGGGGGTTGGAGTAGAAGACCTCCAAGGTCCCTTCCAACTCTGTTATTCTATGATTGTATGATTCTATGACATGTCCCAATTGGGCAATATATGTAACTGGTGTCTCTTCCTAAGAAGGGAAGAAGCTTAAGCCTGCCACTCAAAGTGAGCCACCCTGATTGATGGGGCAAGAAAATTTACAATTGTGACCCCCTAAAGTCACCATAAACCTTTACTTTGTCTTTGAAAGATGAATCTCATTTTCTTTAGCTTGGTGCTGACTTTGATTTCACTCAGGCAGACAGAAAAATATATCCTTCCTTCTTCCGGATTAACCCCAATGAATTTTCTCAGTATGTGGGTTTAGTCCAGCTTCTCCTGCATTTCCAGTGGAACTGGATTGGTCTGGTGGCCCCTGAAGATGACAGTGGAGAACGTTTCATCTCATCTCTGATGCCAATTCTGAAACAGAAAGAGATATGCCTGTCTTTCACTGAAATGTTGAAATCAGATAATATTTATAGCACAGTGACAAAATTAATTCACATTTTCCCAACTTGGTCTAAAACCGAAGTGATTATTCTCTTTGGTGACTCTAATAGCATTACTAGTGTACAGGTGGCTCTGTATACACATGAAAAAATAAGAAAGACACCATTTTGGAAAGTTTGGATCTTAACTTCTCATTGGAAACTTAGTGCAGTGCAATCTCAAGACATATTGCAAGTTATAAAGCCGTTCCAAGGGGCTTTGCATTTTAGGGTCCACACCGTGGATGTCTCAGAATTCAGACATTTCATCCTGTCATTAAACCCTTTGACCCCACAAGGGGATGTCTTTCTCCAGCTATGGTGGGAAATAGTCTTTGTCTGCAAGATTCACAAACCAGGCAAGAACCCTCCAAAGGGGGAAAAACAATGCACAGGAAAAGAGAATTTACGCAATCTGCCAAATTACATTTTTGAAACAAGGATGACAGGTGAAAGTTACAATATCTATAATGCCATTTATGCTTTGGCACACTCATTACATGCATTGTATGGATCAAGAACCCAACCAACCATGATGAGGCTTGGAAAGAGGATCTCAAATGTCCAGTCATGGCAGGTAATTTCTATGACTTTTTATCCAGTCCACAGATCCTTAGAGAGGAAGCTCCCCATATGCATTTCCTCAGTTACCGATTAAATGTCTACATGCTACCATATTATTTTATCTCAAGGCATATTAACACAGCAATTATTAAAACAGAAAAACAATATGAACTAAGTATAATGTTTTGTTGAAAAAGGGTATAAGGGTAAACCAAACCACTTGTCCATAGGATCTACAGAGGAAAGACCTTCCTATAAGTTCTGAAAGGTCTTCAATGGATTATTCAATCCGGAATGACCATGGAGTGGTCATTCTGGAGAGAAAATGTAAGCCCAGAGCAAGCTGACAATCTCGGTACATTTATGCAACCTACTTCAGCAGGTCAATTGAAACCCTAGCAGGCATATTTGCAGAATCACCTTAGTTTATGTTTCTCTGACTTAGCATCCTACATCCTACATAAGAGCCGAGGTGGCGCAGTGGTTAGAGTGCAGTACTGCAGCTACTTCAGCTGACTGCTAGTTCAGCAGATTAGCAGATCAAATCTCACTGGCTCAAGGTTGACTCAGCCTTCCATCCTTCTGAGGTGGGTAAAATGAGGACCCAGATTGTTGGGGGCAATATGCTATTTAGTATACTGTCTTTGGTGTAAGCCGCCCAGAGTCCTCGAAGAGTGGGCAGCATAGAAATATGACTAATAAAATAAATAAATAAAGCCCACCCCATTTGTTCATTTTTTTCATTTATTGCATTGCTTAGCTTGTTATTTGAATGTAAGCTTTTGGGTTTGTTAAAAACAGATCATGCCAAACAAACCTTATTGCCTACTTTGATAAAGTGATTAAATTAATGGATCAGAGAAATGCTATGGATATAGTATATTGGGACTTCAGTAAGGCATTTGACGAAGTAGACCACAGCCTACTTCTTGGTAAAATAGAATAATGTAGAATAGACAGTACCACCACCAGATGGATTCACAGTTGGCTGATCAACCACACTCAATGTATAGTCCTATATCTACATGAAGGGAAGCATGCCATGGGGTACCTTAAGGTTTTGCCTTGAGCCCAGTGCTCTTCAACATCTTCATAAATTATGTGGATGATAGGATACAAGGGGAACTTGTCAAATTTGCAGATGGCACTAAGTAATGGGGGAATTGCCAATACTATGGAAGATAAACTAAAGATTTAGAAGGATCTTGATGGACTTGAGCGTTAGGCCCTATCTAACAAAAATGCAATTCAGGAAGCCTGCGGAGCTGGCAGCGGAGTCAGACAGCGATGAGGTTGAGGAAGAACATGGGGAAGGCCTGGATGAGGGCTCTGCGTCAGAGGCAGAGATGGGGCCAGGGCCATTGGGGAGTGAGGTGCGGACTCCAAAGCCTCCAGAGACTGATAGGAGTGAGGCAGAGGAACAGGAGGAGCCTGTTCCTAATGCACCCATGAGAAGAGCTGCCAGAAGGCAAGAGCAGCTCAAGCAAAGAGGACAACTCAGGAGTAGGGCCAAGGGATGATTGGCCCCTCCCATAAGGCTTAAAACAGACCAGCAATGGCGTTTGGGCTTTGCCAGAAAACAACGTTGGTAGCTTTGTCGTCTTCTTCATCTATGTCTTGTATTTATTTTTGTATCTGTGACTTCTGAACGTTTGCCAAGAAAGGCCTTTGTCAGTTTGCCTAATTGGACCAAGGTTTGCGATAGGACTGAGGAATTTGTGTTGGGAGGAATTTGCTTTAATTTAGTTGAACGACACTGGGAATGAAGTAATTCTCAGCTGTTTGAATAAAGTTTGTTTGTTTTTTCATTGACTGATTTTCCTACTACTTACTTGGGCCTGGGTCACAACAACCACGGTGTCAAGTAGTGTATTCCAGGCATTGACCACTCTGTTGCTAAAGTTGTATTTTCTGCAATTGAGTTTGGAGCGGTTTACCTTAAGTTTGTATCTATTGTGTGCTCGTGTATTATTGTGGTTGAAGCTGAAGTGGTCATTAACAGGTAGGACATTGTAGCAGATAATTTTGTGTTCTATGCTTCGGTCAGACCATAGGCAGCGTAGTTCTAAATTGTCTAAGCCCAAAATTTCAAGCCTGGTGGAATGAGGTATTCTGTTGTGAGCAGAGGAGTGGAGGACTCTTCTTGTGAAATATGTCTGGACTCGCTCAATTGTATTAATGTCTGATATATAGTGCGGATTCCAGGCAGATGAGATGTATTTGAGAATTGGTCTAGCAAAGGTTTTGTATGCCCTAGTTTGCTGTACAATATTACCAGAGAAGAAGCTTCGCAAGAGTAGGTTAACAACTCTTAATGCCTTTTTAGCAATGCTGTTACAGTGAGCTCTGGCACTTAAATCATTAGAGATGAGTACACCAAGGTCCTTGACAGACTGAGGGTCATCTACAAGATCGTGTCCACTCAGCTTGTATGAATAAATGTATGAGGGTTCTACGTATCCTGTTGGATCACTACTTGAATGTGAATATCAACAGTGTGTTACAGCTGCCAGAAAAGCTAATGCAGTTCTAGGCTACATCAACCGAGGAATAGCATCAATATCATTAGAAGTGATGGTACCTCTCTGTACTGCACTAGTGAGGCCACATTTGGAATACTGCATCCAGTTCTGGTCACCACAGTACAAAAAGATGCTGAAGACCTTGAAAGAATGCAGAGAAGAGCAACAATGATGATAAGGAGTCTGGAGGCTAAGTTTTTATATATATATATAAATTTGATTTATATGCCGCCCTTCTCTGGAGACTCAGGGCGGCTTACAGGGCATTAAGCAATAGCCTTCATACTTTTGCATATTTATACAAAGTCAGCTTATTGCCCCCACAAACTGGGTCCTCATTTCACCTACCTTAGAAAGGATGGAAGGCTGAGTCAACCTTGAGCCTGGCAATATTCGAACTTACTTTAATTGCAGACAGCTGGTGTTAAATTACAGTGCTTTAGTCTGCAGAGCTATCCAGGCAGGTCATAGGATAAACAGCTAAGGAAACTAGTTTAGGCCCATGAAGAGAAAGCTCAGGGGAGATATGATAGCAGTCTACCAAAACTTGAAGGGCTGTCACAATGAAAGGAGGATTAATTTATTCTCCATAGCAAATGAGGCAGGACAAGAAGCTTGTCAGGGGGGAATTCAACCTTCAAATCAAGAGAAATTTCTGGACAGTGAGAACAATTAATCAGTGGAACAGGTTGCCTCCAGGAGTTGTGAATGCTCCATCACTGGAGGGTTTCAGGAAAAGTTTGGAAAGCATTTTGTCCAGAATTGTGTAAGGACTCCTGTTTTGGCAAATGGTTGGACTATAAGACCTCCAAGATCTGGCCCTATGATACTATCATTGATTTGTCAACTTTGGATCCACAGCAGGATCCAAAGTTTCTTTGTCTGAAATCTGTCAGACTTTTTTCATCAATAGCTAAATGTTGGACCTCTTTGGACAGTAAAGTGATAAAGCAGGGCAGGCACTTCCTTCCACATGGCCCCACTTCATCATTCCTGCATTCTGCTCTGTTTGATTATCAGGAAGGGTAAATCAGTGGAATTGTACACAGTTGTGACCTAAAATATTTCATCATTCCTAAAATGCAGTTGTCATTTACAAGACCATTGGGCTAAAGTATATATTTAAAAATGCATCACAGGAACAAAACTGTATAATGAAATTTGGAATGTGGCAGTACATTCTTTGAATGTAGGTATCATTCTGGTAAAACTAGGGTCGAAGAAACAATGATACAAATGCCCAGTAACAAAGAGAACATTGTGTAGCATTGAGGAAGGAGTCGCATATTTGGGATTATTATATTTGCTTAGATCTCCACCAAGGGACCTCTACTAGCTTCTCAAATATACACAATACTCTTAAGATGATGGCCATCATAGAACAAAATAAGCCGTGATGTCTTATCTGTGACTGTCAGCCAAGTACTCCAGTTTCTGAAGGTCTCCTTTCTTTCAGATTCTTTCCAGTTTGAGGAAAGTCCAGTTCAACAACAGTGCTGGAGTTGAAGTCTCCTTCTCAGAAAATGGACTGGGATCTGCTCATTATGATCTTTTCAATTGGCGTTTCCTCCCCAATCGATCTTTTGTCCCTGTGAAAGTTGGAGAGATAGATCCCAGGGCTCCACCAGGTCAGGATTTCAGCATTAACTCTAAACAAATCATCTTGGCTACAAAGGTGAGTTGTAAAATCCAGGAAAGATGAATTCTCTCCTGGGATGAAGAACAACTTTCTAACTGGAAATTGGGTTACTGAATAGCAATAGCACTTAGACTTATATTTATTTTATTTATTTATTTGATTTTTATACCGCCCTTCTCCAATAGGACTCAGGGCGGTGAACAGCTGAGATAAAACATAACATATAAAATTAAAAAAAAAACAGTTTAAAAGACATTAAATAATTTCGGCCCTCAATTTAAAACAACCCGGTTAAAACCAATTTCAAATTAAAACCGAAAGGATGGGATCAGGCCAGCCTGGCTAGATGAAATAGATGAGTTTTCAGGGCCCGACAAAAAGTCCGGAGGTCTGGTATCGTGCGTATCTCTGGGGGTAGGTCGTTCCAGAGGGCAGGTGCCGCCACAGAGAAGTCTCTCCCCTGGGCATCGCCAGCCGACATTGTCTGGCCGACGGCACCCTGAAGAGGCCCTCTCTGTGCGAGCGTACTGGCCGGTGGGAGGCTATAACTTTCTCCCTCTTTTTAAACATTTTAAATATTTTTTAATATTTTTTAGTATTTTTAATATTCAAAGTTTAAATTTGTTTTAAATTGATTGGGGTTTTAAATCTGTCTGGGCCAACCTATTTAATTCGATTTTATCTCTGCTTTTTAAATTTTGTATGTATGTATTTTATTGTTGGCTGTTCACTGCCCTGAGTCCTTCGGGAGAAGGGCAGTATACAAATTAAATAAAAGTAAAAAGTAAAAGTAAAGTAGTCAGGTCAACCTGAGCTGTTCCTGCTTTCTCCCCACTCTCCATGCTTGAGGATCAGGAGGGGGTGGTCCTTGCTCATTGTCTGAGCTCCGTCTCTCATGTTCACTGTTTAACCTCTCTCTGCTGAACATGGAAATAGGAATGTGGAAAAGAATAAATCAAACATGCTCATTGTTTATGCCATCACAAGCATTTCTCTCTTCTCTTTCAGAAGGTGCCCTTTGCCAGGTGTGGCATGAAGAGGTGCCAGGCAGGAGAGAGGAGAAGAGTTCCAGAGGGCGAGCAGGTTTGCTGCTACCAATGTGACGCTTGTCCAGAAAGGACCATTTCTAATCAGACAGGTAGAGCAGACTTCAATGTAGATCTTCTTTATAAAGAAGTCCTACAACTAAAATCTATGGAACAATTAAGAGAAGAAGGAATAATTAGAACTTGGTTTCAGTATGGACAGCTGCAGGCCAGATGGCGAGAAGATCAGAAAATTGGTATTTTGCAACAGGATGAGAACTTGATAAAACAAATAAGAGACAAAAGTCAAAGGCACATAAAAAGGTTGTATAATGTATTAGTGGAAATAGATTCAGAAACAGAGCTAGTCAAGGATTGTATGATAAAATGGGCACAAAAAATAGGAGAACCAATAATGATGGAAACATGGGAAAAGATATGGGTTAGAAATGTAAGATTCACACAAGCCCAAAATTTAAGAGAGAACTTTTATAAAATGTTTTATAGATGGCATTTAGATCCAAAAAAACTAGCCTGTATGTATCCCAATGTACAACCTAAATGTTGGCGATGTGAGTGTGAAGATGCTACGTATTTTCATATATGGTGGACATGTAAAAAAATTAAGGCTTTTTGGATAAAAATATGGTGGATTATTCAAAATATTTTAAAGAAAAAGATCAAATTTACACCACAGTTTTTTTTGTTGGGAATAGTTACGGACTGTACTGTGACAGAGACTAAGTTGGTTTTAAACTTAATAACAGCTGCCAGGTTACTGGTGGCACAGTATTGGAAGAAAGAAGATCCACCTACTATTGAGGAATGGACACTAAAAGTTGTGCATTTGGCAGAGATGGCGAAAATTTCATCATATCTTAAAGATCACTCAAATGAAAAATATATATCGGAATGGAGAAGATGGATTGACTATATTCAAAACAAGTATCAGACTAAGAAGTTTCATATATCTTATGAATGAAATACTTTTAATCTTTAGTTTATGTTTATAGTGTTTTGAGTTATAAGGAGAATATGAAACCAACAAATTGTTAGCATATTTTAGTTTTATGTTTGTGAATGCTATACCCTGTGCTTGTTCTGGGAAGTCTAGGGAGGGTGGAGGGGGGAAGGGGGAGGGGGAAATGGTGGGTGGGTGGGTGGGCAAGGGGGGTGGGATGGGGTGAGGGTGGAGGGGTAGGAGGGGGAGAGAAAATGTTTGTATCTTCTATAAAACTTTTCAATAAAAAAAATGTAGATCTTCCAGGATCTAGGAAGCCATTCAGTAGATCAAAATATTTTTTTGTTATTGTTATCATTTTTGGTAGACTTTGAAGAAGTCCTTCAAACAGTCATAATTTTTCAGCAGAACCTTTCTATATTTATTGTCATAGCTGGTTGGGCCTTTTCATTCCTACTGTAGTTCAGAGAACCAGCAAATACCACCTCTAGCTGGCCCGAGAGTGGGGTGGGAATGGAGATTTTTCAATATCCTTCCCCCAGGAGTGGGGAGGGAATGGGGATTTTGCACTATCCTTCCCCTGGAGTGGGGTGGAAATAGAGATTTTGCAGTATCCTTTCCCTGCCATGCCCACCAAGCCACGCCCACCAAGCCACACCCATCAAGCCACACCACGCCCACAGAATCGGTAGTAAAAAAAAATTGGATTTCACCACTGCGGTAATGCATTGTAAAGTGGTATATAAGTCTAAGTACTATTACTATTGCTTTATTGAAATCCACAGTAGTTATAGAAGTGCCTTTTTCTCCTTAGGAAACTGACAAGGTCAGTGTCAGTCCTGAAGCCATTTTCCCCTGGCACCTTCAGGGCTGCCACAGCAGATGTGAGTGGAGCGGTGGAAACAAGAGGAGGAAGGTAGAGATAGCTGGGAGATTGTAGCCAAAATAAAATTATTTGCTCTGGGAACTAAGGACATTCCCACCAGGTGCAAAGAGGTGGGATCTGAGACCAACTGACCTTTGGACTGTGACCTGATTGGACTACGTGGTGGATTGCATCGGTGGGGGAAAGAAAATGATACTTTTAACTAGGGGGAAACCTAGGGGGGGGTTTAGAGTTGGGTTTCACCAGATGTGCCAATATGACATACCTAATAAATCTATACTTTGAAGAATACGCCTGCCTTGGAGTTTTGATTCCTTTGGGTATGTTAACTGGAACCCTGACACTCAGCTGGAACTGAATAGATCCTTGTCTCTTGCTAGCCTGTTCCCAGGGTCATCCTGAATGAAGGTTGATTTGCCCTATTTATGACACTATAAGTTGCCCAGGAGGTCCTTCCATCATTTTCTTTTTAAACTGATAATTGCAGAAAAGGAACATCCATGCCACCCCAAAGAAACTTGGAAGGGAGGGGAAGAGACCTTCTTAACTGCAGATCTATGTAGAATGCTTATAGAATGACTCTTGGTTTCAGATGCAGCCCACTGTGATCCTTGCCCAGAAGACCAATATCCCAACAAGGACAAGGACCAGTGCAAAGTCAAGAAACTCCACTTCCTGGCCTATCAAGAGACTTTGGGATACACTTTAGCTGCTTTTGCTCTCTGTCTCTCTGTGATCACTTCTGCAGTCCTGCTGGTTTTCTATAAACATCATGACACACCAATCGTCAAGGCCAACAACCGAGATCTCACCTACATCCTCCTGGTCTCCCTCCTGCTCTGCTTCCTCTGCTCCTTCCTCTTTATTGGTCAACCAGGGAAGGTCACCTGTCTCTTCCGACAAAGTGCCTTTGCCATTCTCTTCTCCCTTGCAGTTTCCACTATCCTGGCAAAAACTATCATGGTGGTTCTGGCCTTCATGGCTACCAAGCCAGGAAACAAGACAAGGAAATTCTTAGGGAAACCATTGACCAACTCCATTGTCTTAGTCTGTCCTTTGATTCAAGCAATTCTTTGTGTCCTGTGGCTGACAATTTCTCCCCCATTTCCTAACTTGGATTTTCATTCCTTGTTTAGAGAAGCTATCTTAGAATGCAAGGAAGGCTCAGCTTTAATGTTTTATGCTGTCCTTGCCTATCTGGGTTTTTTGGCCCTTGTCAGTTTCACAATGGCTTTTCTGGCTAGGAAACTGCCTGACAGCTTTAATGAAGCCAAATTCATTACTTTCAGCATGCTGGTTTTTTGCAGTGTTTGGATCAGCTTCCTCCCCACCTATCTGAGCACCAAGGGAAAGTCCATGGTGGCTGTGGAGATCTTCTCCATCTTGGCCTCTGGGGCTGGTCTCTTGGCTTGCATCTTTTCCCCCAAATGCTACATTATCCTGCTGAGGCCCGATCTGAATTGCAGAGAGAATATAATGAGGCATAAGAATTGATGATTTATGCGGTGGCTGGGAACTGTTATTTTGATTTTTGTATTTAATCTGATTTCTTAAAAATGACAAAATAAGAAAGACGGGTTTGGAAATCAAGTGATGTGACTAATCAGAAGGTATCTGTTAATCAGTAACAAACTCCTACCCTTTTATTGTACATTAATGTGTTGCTTTGGTTTTAATGTTTGCGTTTTTATGCATGTTTGTTTTCATAGATCCCTGAGGCTTTGTTGAGTTCCTCACTAGGATTTTAATTCAATCAACTATTAGCAATTTTCCCTACAACTTAAATGACCCAGATTTTTACTCTCTATTAAACAGATTAATGTACCTTATTAATAAATAAATGATATGAAATTGTTATTAATAAACATTTTCTTTGTGGTTCCAATCTTACAATTTTTTTATCCTTTCCAAGTTTTATGAACAAGGAAGATGGATGGAGAAAAGAAAGGAAGGATGGGTTAGAATAAACAGAATATATTGTGACTCATTCACTATTCAATAGGGAGGAAGACAGGATGGTATGATGGTCTCTTACTCTAACCATAACCCTAACCCTTCATCACACCTGCTCTGGATTTAACTTCCTGTTCTCCTTCCTGTTCTCCCCCCATCAGTGCAGGTTACATTGTCCAATTAGGTGTCAAAGTGTTGTTGTGAGAAAATGTTCATGGCTCTGCCAAGCACCTGTTGAAATGACCTTGGTTCCCACAGGATGATTTCTCATTGTTGTCTAGAATTGGCATTCCAATCTTACCCTAACCTCCCCCCTTGATTATTGGCAAGTTGAGAAGCAATAATGGCTGGAACAGCATAAGCACGTTCAAACCTAACAACTTTGAAACGTGTAATACATTGTCAACTTGTAAAGCATTCCTGGCCTGCTCTTGAGTTGCCATAGGCAGGAGGGGCAGTGGGGAAACTGACGGAGCAGCATGTCAGCCACAACCAGAAGCACATTTCACGCATACCTTTCTCAAGGCTGTATCCCAGGGTACCGGAACCAGCTGGAGAGGCGTGATCTCTACAGCCCGCGAAAGTGCTCCGTTGGAGAATGTGATTTATGACACACCCTGGGAGGAGGTGGGAAACAGGGTCATAGTTGGGCTGTAAATTATGTGGGGCAGAGCTGACTTCACTTGGGTATGTCCAACATGTTGCTCCTAATAAATAACTGGATTTCTTTTGAAGCCTGGCTCGAGGCTGATGGTTTAATTAGGGCATCCGTCAGAACCCTGACATATGTCTTGTAATACATATAGTTCTGGTGATTTGAACTTGCCTAGGGCAGACATAGTAGCATGACTTTACCATGAGATTATCCTTGTAAGAAAACTGATCCTGTATCAGGCTGGGCGCCACTTTCAAATACTGCAAAAAAAGCAAAAGCAAAAACAAACAAACAAATAAACAAAAAACCCAGACAGTTAATGGATGCTATTGGGCCCAAAGGTTGAATCCTACAAAGTCTGAGTGGCTGGGTGGATAGAAACTAAAGGCCAGCATTGCATATGTTGCACCTAGCCTGAGCAGGCTGTAGGTGGATAAATGGCTACAGAAACCCAGGGAGATACGTCTGGTGGAGTGTTCCTGCACTTGGTCATAAGGGCAAAATACCACAAGGGTGCTGAAATAGCCACAACTTTGAAACAGGGTCATAGGTAGTTATTTTTTGGGGGGACAATTTAGTTTGAGATTATGATAAGTGACCACTTCTTAAGTAGAGTACTACCTGTATAAATAAACCATCCATTCTATCCAAGCATTGGCATGATTGCTCATACTTACCAAGGTATAGCTAATTGCCCTGTGCCACCATGGCCCATTAGCTCTCATACTATCTGAGCAAACTATGGCACAGGCCAAAATCCACTTTGTGTGCAGGAGCTTGAGTTTCATGCAGGCCAAATATATAATTATACCATGACTCTCAAGTCCATCTGCCCTGTGCATTACAGCAAGAGACCCAAACATGTTTTCCATGCTACTGTATGAAGAGAAGCTATAGCTAAGTGGGTAAGACAATGGCTGTTCCTTGCAATTATCAGAAGAACAGTCATTCTCAATGTATTCCCCTGTAGATTTCTACCCACAAAAATCTTCTGAGATACAACCTGCTCTAAAAAATATCTCTGAGCCCTCCAGGTGGGGGCTGGACATGAAATCTTAATTGGTCTTGCAAAGAATAACTCCTGGGTTTGAAGAGACTCACGTTTTTTCATTGCCTCTTTGGTTAGAGTCCAAATATAAGTAAGAGGAAGGATTGTCGATATAAATTTGCCCCGGGACTGTTCAGGTGTCATAGTTTCTCTTGTGCTTAAACTCTGCTGAGTTTTCAAGTGTTACCTGCAATTCAGCTTCTGCACAATCCATGATTTCTGATCTAGGTGGGAAGATGACAGGAATGACCAGGTTGCCTCTCCTGCTGCTCTTCTGGCTCCTGCCTCCAATCTCTGTGAAGAGGATGCAAACCAGATGTGTGATGAAATGGCCTTTGTTTATTGAGGAGAAGTATTACAAGCCTGGTGAACTCGTTATTAGTGGGAATTTGGCTCTGGGAATCACAATTTTTCTCAACGAAGGCCCAGTCTTTCGTAAAAACCCATACCATCGTGTTTTACCAAGGTTGTACATTTCACCTGGATGGGATAGATGTAGATAATTGTTTGCTTTCTTTGGGGTTTAAGGGATTCCTATCAGAAATTCTGATCCTTATAATATTGGTTTCTTTCCCCCATGCCATCGCTCTGCTAAACAACTTGTCAGATGTAAATGCCTTATTCCCTAATGTGTAAATAATGTATATATGGGATATCAGGGGTTAACTTATTCTTTGTTTCTTAATGTATTCATAATTCACCACTCCTACTCTTGGCTCCACCCTTTGTATATATAAGGAGCCACCTTCGCCATTTTCCTTGCTTCTATCTGTGAATATTCAGTGAATATAGAATGCCTACTATAATTAAAGAGAAATATATTTGAATCTCTAACTCTAAATATTATTATTGAGTCTGATCCTAAAAATATTGCAACAAACTGGTAGCAGAGGATGGTTAATTGACTCAATAAATAACTAAAAATGTCTAAGAAAGATAGGCCCAACACCAGGGCCTACAGCAAAGAAATAGAAACTGAACAAGAAATAATCAACGAATCCACAAACGCGATTTCGAGAGAATCCGAAGAATACACCACTGAAGAAGAAGAACTAATAAATGAAAATGATGGCCAGGAAGAAATCGAAATAGAAAATAACGAACTCAGGTCAGAGATACTAAAGATTTTAAAAAGCCAGAAGAATGATGAAAGCCTCATCGCGAACCTCCAAGAAATGCTGAAGAACAGCGGAGCAGCGAGAGAGAAAAACATCGCTAAAGAGAAACCCAAAGACCAAAAAACTGTGAGTGATGTGACTACAGAGAAAATTCAAAAGAGAGAAAATCTGGTTCACTGAATGGACTAAATAAACAAGATAGCACCAAAACGCAACCAAATGAGAACAATAATTGGCTTATTGATTCTGGAGCAACTGATCACACCACTAATAACAAAAATATATTGTCTTCATTTACAGAAGATAAGTTTGTAATAAAAGTAGCTAACCAAGAAAAAGTTCAAGTACTAGGCAGAGGGAATGTGACCTTGCCTGGTCTAGGAAAAATAGAGGGGGTATTGTTAATACCAGAAATACCTCATAACATACTAAGTGTCATAAGATTAAGCAGAGATTCTGACATCAATATAGTTTTCTCAAAGGGAAAAGCAACTTTAGAGAAGAATAAAACTAATGTAGGCACTGTGATGATTAAAGGAGGCCTACCCTATCTGATAACAAAAGAAAGATGGTTACATAACATTGATTCAAATATGGAAGATTGCATTGAGGCAGATGATGAAAATATTAGTAACAGTGACAATGATGAATGTAAAATATCTCATGGTCACACAGATACACACAATGAGAAGAAACCAAAAATAGGTAAACCAATACATGACGAGTGTGCTCATATCTTACATAGGAAGTTAGGACATGCAAGTTTTCCTGTAGTACAAAAAATGATTGAACACGCAGAAGGTGTCAAAATAAAAAATTGTGAAAATTATTTGGAATGCTCAGTATGTAAATCTACTAAATTAAAAACTAGTCCCAGGCCAAAAAAATCCACCAGATCAACTAACAAAATTTTTGACTTAGTACACATGGACTTAGTTGGTCCATTAACTCCATCAATCACTTATAGAAAACGTTACTTCCTAACAATAGTAGACGATTATAGTCGCTATGGTTTTGTTTACACATTAAAACACAAGGATGAAACCTTTCAAAAATTTAAGGAATTTTATAAACGCATAGAAACACAACATAATATCAGAATAAAACAAATTATGACAGATAGGGGATGTGAATTCATGTCTAAGGAATTCTCCCAATGGTTAAAGGATAGAGGAATGTTACATTACACATCTAGTCCATTTTCTGCGTTCCAAAACGGGATTGCAGAGAGAAAGAATTCCACATTACAAACCATGATTAGATGCACATTAGAGGATGCTGGTTTAGGCAAACAATTTTGGTCAGAAGCCCTACATTATTCAAATTACACTCAAAATAGAACCTGGTCCAGTATTGTGAATAAGACACCAAATGAGGTGATGTATAATAGGAAACCAAAATTAGCACACATGCACATATTTGGGGTCACTGCAGACATACACATACCCAAACAATTGAGGAGAAAGGGAGAAAACGTATCCAGAAGATTAAGATTTATGGGATATGAAACTGGCACCAAAGGGTACAGATTCATTGATAATAATAATAAATTTATAGTTTCCAGAACAGCTGTGTTCCATGAACAGGCCAACTGGTCTAAATTACATCTTAATGAAATATTTCCGAATAAATGCAAGGATACCAAATCTCGTGAGGAAGGGACGATAGAAAATCAAAATATTAACAGAAGCAAAAACAAAACCAAAACATGGACAAATAGTAAACACAAAATAAAGACAGACACATTAACAAAAAAGGAAGCAAGATATTTGCATGACTACCATAGCAAACCAGAAAGAACTATTAGGAACAACAGAAATCAAATACCAAATAAATACAAAGATTACATAATGCATATGGATGGTGAACAAATAACACCTAATACATATGAGGAAGTATTAAAACTACCTCGTGAAGAAAAAGAAAAATGGGAACTAGCTATGAAAAAAGAGATGGAGAGCTTACAAGGATTAAATGTATTCACACCTGCGATTGCACCCAAAGATAAAACAATTATTGGTACCAGGTGGATTTATAAAATTAAGAATCTAGAAGGAGGCAATACCTTATACAAAGCTAGATTGGTTGCACAAGGTTATGCACAAAAA